GGGGCAGACGGGATAAAGGGTGGTAGGGAGGGGAGGGAGGCTTCTATTCAATGAATAATACAGTCACGGGCGTGGGCTTGACCTCGGGCAAGCAGTGGGTCGCATATCTAATGACCCCCATTCCATCGTGCTCCCCTGGCACCGGCGTGCCTGTACATCGAGATGAGGCTGCACGGCCGTTCACGTATTGCGTGGCGAGCAAAACCAAAATCATATATGCCATGATTCTCGAACACTCCTTGATATATTCTCGCCTGTTGAACCCCGCCTCACACCGCAAGAGAGGGGTGCGAGGGCACGGGCGGTCCCGCCCCCGCCGACCCACAGCCCACAGGTTGTCGGTTAAGGGTTGCGTGTGACAGTGGCTAGCAGCGGGCCGGGAGGGGGGGGAGGCAAGGATGACCAGTCATTGAACAACCCAAACACTTCCAGAAATCCGTGCCACTATGGCGATAATATTCTCTCATAGGGTGTCCCCACAATGAACGTCTCATCCTGGCGCCGATGATCACGCCCGCGACCCATCGGGTAGGCCGACCCGCCAAGCAGCTCTGTGGAGACGTTGGCCTACCCAGGGCGCCCAAAGAGGGCAGGGGAGCGTTTGACGCCAACGTCCCCTTGTGTTACCTTGGGATCCCAATCGTCTCGAGACGTTCAAGGTAGGGGCACCTTTAGGCATGCAAAATGAAACCCAGCCCTGTCTGAATTTTATCAAAGCTAGCGCTAGCGCTGGCGCCAGCAAATGACCAAATCTTGCCTTTGACCTCAATTAATGTCATTTTGACAAAATCCCTTTGACAGGGTATCCATACTGCCGGCTGCATGCATTTACTCCGTGATATCAGAAAAGCTGGTATTAAAATAGTGTTGAGGGGTGAGCATGGGGAAATTTCACATCTCTGCAATACATGTGCCACGAGTTGCAGCGCTTGATGACACTTGAAGTCTTCCCGGGAACACCTCACCCACAACTTCTGCTGGCTAGCGTTGGTGATTAAATACCCCCCCCCCCCTTCTCCCTAAATCTAGCACCCACGGTGCGCACCCCTAGGCCTGCCTTAACCTCACTCAAGAGGCGCTCATCCCCCGTACTGGAATTCGCTTCGGCAAAAGACGAAACGCCGACGCACGAAACATAACATAGCCGTCTAAACACAACCAGGACACTAGGCCATCGGGAGAGCACGCCGGCTCCGGTGGGAATGAGACTTTATACAAGAGCGCCTCCTGCTCCTCGGGGAGATGCGTTGTCCAGACAAAGACAAAAGACGTCTGTCCTTCCAATGGACGGGATGGGGGTGAATGAGGGCTGCGCGAAATGGGTCATCGCCGCACAGCGCGACTAGGCGGCCTTACCTGAAGCAGCGAGGGTGGCGACGACCACCAAGAAGGCGAGGACGACGGCGTGGATGCCCATGGCTGCTGTCCCCGCGGGTCTCCCCATGTCTGCTACAAGGGGGTGGTTGGGCGGGGCGCCCGTAACGCCCGATCGCTAACGCCCTCCTGGAGCCGAGTGAGGGGCAAGGGAGCTGCGCCGGGCTGCGCCCCGCCAGGCCACCCCCACCCCCAGCGCGCCCCCGTGCACAAGCAGCGCCCCCTGCAATCAATA